CGGGTTTGACTCGACGGCACATAACAACAACATAGGTGAGGAGTGCTGAAAGTAGGTGGACTGCTAAAAGAACTAACAAATCTGTCCTGGAAGAAGTGCAGCCAGGAATGCTCCTTGGAAGCGAGAATGGCTCGACTTCGTCTCACCTACTTCGGTCATGGTGCCAGAAGGGACCAGTCGCTGGAGAAGGATGTCGTACTTGTTAAAGAGGAGGGTCAAGGAAAGAGGGGAAGGCCCTCAACAAAATGGATTGACAGATTGGCTGCAGCCATGGGCTCAGGTATAGTAGGGATTGTGAGGCTGGCACAGGACCCCACAGTGTTTTCTCCCGTTGGACATAGGGTGGCTATGAGTTGCAGCGACTTGACAGCACGGTAACAACAACAACGGAGATTTAGCTCTAGGGCTCTGAAAAATTAAAGGAGCCAAATTAAAATCCTTTTGGGGGGTTCATATATATTTCCAGTTCCATTCTATAGTTTGGAGGTTGGGTGAATTTAATAATTTATAGGCACATTTCATCAATGTTTCTCTTTGCAGGCAACGCTTAGAGAACAGGGATGGAGTCCTAACTTGATGTAGATCTTTGTACAACAGACCCTGAAACAGTCCATCTTCTGTGATGTCCATTGTTTCAAAAGGCAAGGAAACAAATTAGGTTTGCCTTTTTTCCTTTTCTTCAGAACCTCTAACTCAATTTTTTTTTTTTTTAACATTCCCAGAAAACCCAAAAACAATTGCCATCTAGTCAATTCTGACTCATAGCAACCCTACAGGGCAGAGTATAACTGCCCCTTAGGGTTTCCAAGGCTGTAAATCTTTATGAAAGCAGATTGCCTCATCTTTCTCCCTAGCTTTGGCTGGCTGACCTTTTGGTTAACACCCGGAGGCTTTAACCACTGTGCCACCCGTGCACCTCAACATTTCCCCGAGCCACTGCTAAACCGGATTTTGCAGTCGACACCCAAAATTCTTGTTTTCATGGAGACCACAGGGTTATAACATGAAAGCAGGGCCATGTGTGATGAATCTTCGAGGACCCTCAGGCTCTATGTGGTCCACTTATGTAAACCGCTTCGACTTCGTGGAGGGATCGGAAGAGAGGTTCCAGGCAGCAGAAGGAGCACGTTTACTCAACCAGCCAAATACCTCGGGTATGCCTGTTGCGCGAAGCCCGCCCCACTCGCGGTTGCCACGGAGACCCGGGCCCTGGACCCACCGACACCAAGGGAAGGGGGGAAGCCGACCTATCTGCGGCCGGAGTTGGTTCCCCCGCCGGGTCCACCCTCCACCCTTCTCCGCTGCAGCGTCCGCGAGAGTGAACGCGCGAGGTCGTCCAAGACCCCGAGGCGTGCCTTTCCTCCCGAACCCGAGAGAACAGAGTGTCGGAGGTCGTGACCCCCCTGCCCCGAACTCGGCCGGTGGGAGTGGCTGCATTTGAACCAAACTGCCTTTGCGGCTGTCGCGGCCGCCCCGCCGCCCCGGGGCGCCTGTGGGCTCTGTTCCAGACACCGCCTCTGGGTGACCGAAGTGCGGCAGCTGCCGCGCCTCTGTCCCCCAAGCCCTGGAAACATCCGCCTTCTGGGTTAAGGTAGGAGAGGGTGAGAGGGCGGGTGGCTGTGGGGCTGCAGACAGGGCGCATCTGAGGAGCTCTGCCCCCAAAAGGGCCTCAGTTAAAGTTGCCTGTCTCAGATGAGGGGGAGCCTTCTCTCTATCCTTGTACCTTTTTGAATTTATGAAAGTTTCTTTGACGCAAATCTTGCTCAAAGTGTGGGATGCTAGGGTCAGCCACTGAATGCCATCTCTTTCTAGTCGTTAAGGCCACCACAACTGTGGCCCTCTAAGTGTGGTGCTCCTGAAGTAGTCATTTACTGGGAAACCCTTTTCTTTTCACAGAGACGATGCTTCAGGTGCAAGAAAAACCATTCCCTGGGACATCTGCGTTTTAATCCAAACTTAAATAACTGGAAACAATCAAGGGGCAGACATGCTTAACTCCGCAAGTGAACTGGAGTTTTCGAACCACGAAAGTTGCGAGGAATTATCCCAGCTCTCTTCCCTGGAACTATCATCCAGAGAGAAGACCTCAACATGTTTAGTCGAAAAATCTGGCTACCCCGACTCCATTTACGTCATGGCAGCGAACATTTTTCAGGGTATTCGAATCGAAAGGTCACCAGAGAGGGTCTTGATCAAGTATGGGAATGAACCTCTGCCAACCTCTTCTGAGTCTGACGATGAATCCTTCCAGCGTTTATCCTACGAGCTGGCTTTCAGTGCTCTGAAGTGTGAGTAGTACCAGTCTTTGAAAATTAGCATTAAAAGAAAATAACGAGTTTGTTGGGTGCAGCCCCTCATCCCCCATACACACCAGGTTCTGTTTGATGGGTTTGCGTATATTTGGTCAGTATATTTGGTCAGTTTTTCAGTCCTGGATTCCCGCGTACCTAGCACAATGCCCTGTCCTTAAATGGGTGTAATGCTTATCATGAAATTGACGTAGGAAGCAATTAGATTCCTTGGGGAGAACAGAATCCATGCTGAAGTATCCAATTATAGTTTTCCTCCCACTGTGTAATTCCATTCCCTGTGTTTGCATTTTGTATTTCATGAATATTTATGAACTTTCATATATAAAAACACCAATAAAAGCAGGAGAAGGAACAGAAAACAAGGTGCAATATTCAAAAAATAAATGTTGTTTGTTGTTATGTGACATCGAGTCAGACCCAACTCAGCAACTCTTCCTTGGGTTTCTGAGGCAGTATCACTACGGAAGTATATTGCCCAAATTAAATCAGCCAAATTAAAATTATCCCATTCATAGCCAAAAGCTTTAATTTTCGGAGCTTATAATTTTATTCCTCCAATCTTGTATAGAATTTTCCATTTTCTGATTTGCCTCCTGGGTTTCCGGTGAATGTTTTGCACTTCTTCTTTGGGGGTTACTTAGCAACTTGAGTGTGGAGCTGACTTTAGCCAAAAACCAAAAATTGTTAAGATGAGGAGCAGTGGCATCCCCAGGAGAGTGCAGGGGCTTTGGATTACGCTGGGTAACACTGTCAGAGAGGAAGACACTAAAATGACTGTAAAATTTTTGTGCAGTGATTCAGCAGTAATTTATTATTTTATAAAAAATCTGTGTAGTTAGTTATAACACAAAAAAGTTTTTGATAAGCTCAGCTTGGGTGTATCAATGTACCTACAGGGCTAAAACTCTATATTAATTTCCTTTTTAAACCTTCTAATGTGCTTCGGTCAGAGCTGTCATTATTGCCCTATTAAAATGATGTTTTGAATCACGTGGTTTTGTCAGAGAATATTACAAGCACTCGCTATTGTTTTATTGCTTCTGGTGTTTTTATAGTGGCTGATTTTGTCGAATTTTCTGGTGTTTTAGCTACAGTATTGTAATTAACAGTTGCGAACCTATATCAATAACTTTTTTTAAAGAATAAAGTAGTAATTAAAAGAAAATATTAAAAAAAACTTCTACTTTAGTAGAAGTGTATAGGAGTGTATTTACCTAATGTAAAAGTTCACTCCATGTGCCTGTCTATTGTTTGACCGGAAGCCACAGAAGTTAATTCAGTTCCAAACTTGAAGGGTAACTAGGTGCCATGTCATCGGGGTCTCACCAGGCTCTATCAGACCAGTAAACCCGGTCTTTTTTTTTTTTT